GGGGGGGGGGGGCGCAGCACGGCATAGCAGAGAGGAAGTATGCAGCCCCAAGGGCCCATGGCCCCTACTGGTTCCACCCTTGGCCACTTAGAAGTTGGACAGCCCTGACTTTAGCCAAACACTGCCAACCATATCCAATATTATCCATATTAGGCAAGACTGAATTTTTCTGTAAAGTTTAGCTGAAACAGGTCAGCTATTCCTGAAAACGTGATAAAGAAAAAAATATACGTTCCTGTCTCTATTAAAAAAGTTCTACAACCATTTTGTTAAAAAATTCTAGCAACTCCACAGTTTACAGCAGACTCCACCCCGTGTCAGGGATGTGCCTTTTAACATCCCAAGAAAATCTGCCCAAATACAGCCAAGTTTTGAGACACTGAAAAGCTTCAGTTCATACTCAGTGCAGACTTGTTAGAGTTTGACAGCTAAATTCTTGTTAGTTTTAAGATGCAGTGAGTGTGCTTCTGGCCAGGGCTAAGGAGACAAAGCAGAATTTTCCCTCCAACTGATGTTTCTCACTGTTGGGCTCCACTGTGATACAAGGCACCAGAACTGGGTGCAGCAAGCGCAGCAAGCAGCGGGTGCTTGCACCGGGGGGGGGGGGCACCAGCGTTCCCACCTGCCCATTGCCCAAGCAGCGAATGCAGCCATCAGGGGGTGCACCAGCACTCAGGGGGTGCACATGCACCCCCTACGTGTCACCACTGCAAAGGTGGGAGGGAATGCGAAGAGAGACAGAAGTGGGGGATACATCAGGTACAAAAAGGGTAGGGATGGGGGAGGAGGGGGAACAGGATGACAGATGCCAGAAAGGAAGAGCTAGAAGGGAAGAGCTAGATAGCTAGACTGAAAAGTAGACTGAAATAGAGTGGCACAAACACATGCTAGAGACACAGGGGCAGCAGGATCAAGGGCATGAGTCCTTTCAGAATCTGGACTGAATCCAACAGAACAAACGTTTCTGACTTTGAGTTTTTGACATTACAGCCTTGCAGTTTTTAAGCATTCTCTCTCTCCTTTTATTTTCATTTTTTAAAAAGAATGGCACAGCAATGACTGTTAGCTATTCTAATTTTTAAAATGTATTTTAATCTTAATTATTTTTTTAAAGCCCTGGACAACAGGCCTAAGAAGGAGAAATGTCTCCACCGAGTTAAGCAATTAAGGCAAGAGAGTTAATTTCAGAAACACTGTCTCTATCAGAAGCTGTATCACATAACATCAGAGTTTCTATCATTAGCATATGGCTGAGGCTATCGGTGGAAAGTAGGGAAGTCTGCACTGGTAGGGCATGCACTTTTAAGTACCCATTCAGTAAAAAGAAAACTTCAGCCTTGATGGCTGTTTAGGAATGCTTTTCATAGTATTACATTCATTAAAAAAGGGAAAAAATGTTGCCTTTGAAAGTTTCTGCAACATTCTCTATCAATTAACTTAAAATGTACTGAATTGGAAAAGTACTGAAAAGCAGCCAGCCTTCAAAAAAACTATATCAAAAGAAGTTAATCTCAACCAGAGTGGTGTGGCACTTTGGGGTGCCTTGAGATTCTTTCAAGGGTGCCTCACTGTTCGGTGTGCAAACATGAGTCCAAAGATAAATCCAACGATTTCAAACAAGAATCCATTCAAACAGAATGTCGGCTTAACAACAATCGGACTTAGCCATATATAAAATAGCCACAATTTTAACTAGAACATATTTACAAATAAGGTGCTATTACTAATACCACACTTTTTGACAAAATAAAATTAACCAAATCTGACCATATTTATTGAAAGAACAGAAATACTGACAAATCCAAATATTAACTACACACCACTAGTTAGAAGACTTTTGGTTAGAAATCAATGCAACACACTACAGCACAAGAACTAGCCACACTGAAAAGTAAGGGGCTGAAAAGAGGTTCAAGTCCTTCAGTACCTGCTCCTGTCCAGATAATGGGATTTCCACCAGAGTATCATCTCCAAATGCTACTCAAGTAGACAGTGAATAAATGTTGTTGTTTGTTTGTTTTTTCATTAAAAGTTTGAATTGTTGGGAGAGAACTTTTAGCTGTAAGTATGCCAGTGATCCTCTCAGGGGAAACATATTTGCCAGTTGCAACTGGGCACATGGACTGTCAAGCCTCGTCTCTTGACAGTCATAAGTTCTCCTTGACCTCCCACTGAAGTTCTCTGCCGGCACAACTGTTAAACTAGATGCATCAAAATATCTCCTCTTTATAAAAAAATAAAATGCACTAGTTTTAAAATCACAGCCTTTTATATTTGTATCCAATTCCTGAACTGGCGCCTTCTGAAGATTCCCCACAGAAAATATTCAGTAAGTAAGCATTATGATTCTTTATCTCTCTCAAACACAATCACTAGAAACAAGGTTAATCACTATTTCATATATAGTAAAACTTAGTCCTCATGCAGCTTTAAAACCAGAGATTTCAATGTGTTCTTTATATAGAAATTGATCCTAATTTTACAGTGGGAGAAACTGAGGCACAGAAAATGCTCAAGTTCACACAGCAGGGCAGTGGTAGAGATGCCTATAAAACCCAGGGGTTTGACTCTCATTTTAGCACCCTGCTTCCTAAATCAGAGGTAGCCAACCTGCAGCACACATGCCACTCGTAGCATGGGCAGCCCCTGCATGTGGCTAGCTAGGAAAAGGGACAGGAGCACAGTGGTAAATAGGGCAGGGAGTAGAGAACAGAGCAGCCCGTGAGGCAGGGAAAAAGAGCAGATCAGGCAGGGGAAGGGGATTTAAGTAGCACTCAGGGAGAGTGGAGGGTTACTATGTGGCATGCCTGCCAAAAATGTTGGCCCCCCACTGTGCTACATCAGGTTGTCTCTCAACACCAATTATATAATTTTGGTGGAGTAAATACTATGTCCTTTCACAGCCTTCATATGCAAAACAAACCACCTTTCACTTTCGAATACAATCCCCCCAATAATACGTGCACTTGACATGAACTCTAACCTCAGCCTGAGAAAACACACACTTTGATGAAATAGTTTATTATATCTATACGCTGTATTTAATATTCCATTAACATATAAACAATGCTACGTCTGAAGACCCAAGCTTATTTACGTATATAAAAAAATATTTATGTATAGATTTCCCTGTGCCTTTTGAAATAAACTGTTCTGTTTCTTGTTATGTGTCGTTCTTGCCGGTCACCAGATTTCAGTTCAGTCTGCAGCCCAGCCCCCCTCTACTGAGGCACAACCTCATTTAGACCCCATAAGCTCGCATTTGTGCTGAAATCTTAGAACTAGCCCTGGCTATGCCTTGACCCACACAAGGATGCGGTTATCAATTGTATTAACTCAATCCAGTTAGCTTAATACAGTTCAAAGCCCTGTTCAAATACAGGCTAGCACGTGTGAAGCTATGTCACGTTCAGTTAGTCTGACAGAGCTAACATGGTTGATAATATGCTGCCTTTTTGCCCACAGAGGCATACCTTCAGCATACTTCCACGCCGGCTCATTTAGACTTGGGGCGGGAGTCAGCACATTGGCTCAAATGCCTACAACCAGCTTATTTACTCACTACAACGGGAAAGTTACGGCGAGCTGCAAAATGATGAGACTTCACCATCGCTTTCCGATAGAAATCACTCCTCCTCGCGCGTGCGGACCCGCCCCTGCGATTATAGCCCCTCTCCTCACGCGGGGCCTGGCCCCGCCCGCGCTCAGGACAAGACACCGAGTGAAACGTCACAGGAAAAAAAGTGGTGAAGAGCCGGACTGCGAAACGGCACCCGGGCTGCCATGTCCCACCGGGGAGGGGCCAGCAGGGGGTCCCCCCGAGGGGGAGCTGTAGAAACAAGAAAGGAGGCAGCAGGGCCCATCCTGGGCTGCGGGGGCCTCCGGGCAGGGCCGAGCGGAGGATGTCGGACGCTCCCACCGGGCTCTGCCTCCCCACCCTACATGGGCCGGGCGCTACTCTTGGAGGCGTTTTCATTCCCCGCACTCGAGCGGCCCGGCCCGAGAGGCAGTGTGTCCGGGGTGGGGGGGGCCCTGCCGGCCTCCGAGCTGCTGGGGCCGCCCCAGGCAGACGGGGCAGAGGAGAAGGGGGGAAGGGCGGGGCAGGCGCGGCAGCAGCAGCAGGCCCCGC